CTATCATAACTAGCGAGAAAATCCTTTGTTTACTTAGCCATCATTTATTACTACCGCAATAAATCCATCAGCTACATTCTGTTGGAAAGGAGATATCCACAAAGAGCGTTCTTTGTGACTGATTTAGTCAGTAGCCTTTGTCCTGGTCAGGAATTACAAGTTACAGACCCTAACTTAGAGAAGGATACGTTCATAAGAAAGTCTGACCTCATCTGGGATTTGAACACAGGAATCCTCAGGCCCAAAGCAAGAATCCAACCTCTAGACCAATGAGCCAAACAATGGAAATGTTATGATATAGATTGGACTTTACTATGTCTTTATGTTCTGTGTATGTGATCAACCATTTTTGCTCTATTGGCTATGGGTCTAAATGTATTCTGCTGTACGTTCCCAAAAAAAGGGGTTTGGTGATAAGCATTCTAAATATCAACATGGTCCTCATTCAGAGTTGGACTGCTCACATCACATCATCTTTTTCTTTTTGAGTTGCGCAAAAATCCTAATATAGTCCTGACTCTGGTTATCCTAAAAAATCTAGACATTTCATAATATATTGCATAAAAATTACTATGCACACATATAAGACAAAGTTCAGACCAATCTTTACATGGATTTTCAGAAAAATCTCTTGCTAAATGACAATTTAGCAATTGAATTAACAATAGAATTTTATTTGATTATATTACAAGAGATCATTTGCTTGTCTGTTTTTGTTTTATATATATACATACACACACACACATATACATACACACACACACCAATCAGTTGAGGCATGGGGATCAGTTGCGCGTGGGGATCGAAAGCTAGCTCGTCTGGTCCGATCTCATAGAACAGCTACTGTAGCACAAATTGCTGAAAAAGTTAATGCTGGCTATGGTATAAAGGTAAAAACCAAAGCTTGCTGCATATGAGGCTGCGTAGCTGCAGACCGGTCAGAGTGCCCATGCTGACCCCTGTCCACCACCTGAAAGCGCCTACAATGGGCACATGAGCATCAGAACTGGACAATGGAGCAATGGAAAAAGGTGGCCTGGTCTTTTGAATCATGTTTATTTGTACATCCACATGATGTACAAATAAACATGATTCAAAAGACCAGGCCACCTTCTTCCATTGCTCCGTTGTCTAGTTCTGATGCTCATGTGCCCATTGTAGGTTTAAACTGACAACTGAGCATCAGAACTGGACAATGGAGCAATGGAAGAAGGTGGCCTGGTCTTTTGAATCATATTTATTTGTACATCATGTGGATGGCAGGGTGCGTGTGTGTCACTTACCTGGGGAAGAGACAGCACCAGGATGCACTATAGGAAGAAAGTAAGCCAGCAGTGGCAGTGTGATGCGCTGGGCAATGTTCTGCTGGGAAATCTTGGGTCCTGGCATTCATGTGGATGTTACTTTGACATGTACCACCTACCTAAACAATGTTGCAGACCACGTACACCCCTTCCTGGCAACAGTATTCCCTAATGGCAGTGGCCTCTTTCAGCAGGATAATGCACCCTGCCACACTCCAAAAATTGTTCAGGAATAGTTTGAGGAAGCATTCAAGGACTTGGCCTCCAAATTCCCCAGGTCTCAATCCGATTAAGCATCTGTGGGATGTGCCGGACAAACAAGTCTGATCCATGGAGGCCCCACCTCGCAACTTACAGGACTTAAAGGATCTGCTGCTAACGTCCGTCTTGGTGCCAGATACCACAGCACACCTTCAGAGGTCTTGTGGAATCCATGCTTCAATGGGCCAGAGCTGTTTTGGTGGCACAAGTGGGACCTACACAACATTAGGCAGGTGGTTTTAATGTTATGGCTGATCGGTGTATATCTTCACATGAATTTTTTTACCTCAAATATTTTAATGTACAATTTTCAAAAACATTGCATTTACACATATGATTTTTTTCCAAGCATTACAAATTTAGGATCAGATTTTATTTCATAGTTACAGGCTGTTTTTCCCCCCTAAGTGGCAGTGATGTGCAAGAGCACATACTCTCTCACCACCCTGTATGATTTTACTAGCTAGTTAGCTAGTACATATCTCGGTTATGTTAAGGTAGTTCTATGCCTTATGCCAAACATGTTCACTAGCTAGCTAGCAGCTTAATTCAGCCACTCTTTATAAAATGTCATTAACAAGTATTCAACAGTAATGTCATATTAGTCACCTGTCTACAAATTAATTAAATTTGGTGGCTAGATAAGGTTAGCTAAGGGCTGATTTATACTTCTGCTAGAGCTTCAAACCATTGTGTGTGGATACTCGCATAGAACAGAGCCCATGTAAAAGCTTCATGTTTCACTGTAGGAATAATAAACTGAAGACAACATGGGCATAATAAGCAAATATCCAATAATCTACTAAATATTATCTACCGCTACGAAGTAGTTTTTTTAAACTGACCACTACAGCGGCATGTGTTCATTCTTGCACTCACCATATCACATTCCCCTGTAACTAGATAAACCATGGCACCTATTGATTACCTTGTAGTAAAAATTGTATGGTCAGGTGTCCAGATAGTGTACAATCTTTGGTTCAGTGGTGTTTGGGATTTTTTTTTTTAATTGATTTTTTAAATTGTTTTTTTTTTTTTTTTTTTTTTTTTTACAGTTTTACAAATACAGTCAGTGGTATATTAAGAGAATGAAAGAATTAAATACAAAACATAAAACTAAACAATAGAAAGGTTATATTAAATAAAAACATCAAAATGTTAAAAACAAAGGTTTATTTACCCCGTATTAACATTTATGTATACTAAATTTAGCCAATAGAAGCAGTAAATTAATTAAATAATATTCCTTATGATAAGACATAAGTGAAAAAACTAAATAAAATATTTCCAAAACAAAGCTGAAAGCTGGGCATGATGTGATCTTTAATAAATGAGCAGAAATCTGGCCAAAAACAAGCCGAATAAGGACAACTCCAAAATAAATGAAAGAATGTTTCTGAATGTAATTTACAAAATGTCCAAGATGTAGCAATATCACAATTAAATCGTGTTTGGGGCGTTAGGCCTGTAGGGGGCAACAGCCGCGATGTAAACCGGGTTTTGTGCAGAAGAGTCGTAGAGGAAGCCAAGAGCTGTGAGCTTCCGTTTTCCGCTCGGCTCCCACCCCGCTCCGCCATCATCCAGCCCTGAACAATAAAGAGGATTAAAATAAAACCAGGAAAACAATTATGGGACCGCTGGTGTCTGACAGCAGCCTTAAACTAAGCCAGTGACACCGTCTATAATGATTAAATACGATGGAAAATGAGAGCGGCGGGGTTTCGGGGTCTGCTGCTGAGCGGTACAGCCGTTTTTTCATTGACAATCAGCTGATGATGTTCCTCTGGCGCTGAGTGAGACTCCTGAGTCTTAGTTTAAAAAATTACGACTTGCCATTTTCTCTGGACATTAAGCGTTAAGTATATGGCTTGATGTTCAAATGAAGATTGTTTGTTTTGACTGAAGAAAGGAGCAGCATTTTTTCCTCGTCAGGCCGGACACTGAGCTAGCTTTAGCTTTAGCTTTAGCTAGCTCCAGCGGAGACACCACGGTAAGGACCCTCTGCCCCCAAAACATCCTTCATCACATCGCCAGTTTAATCACCTGCACAAACTACACAGTCCTGCTGTCTTTTTCTCATGTTAACTACACGATAATGTCCGTGTTTTGCTGTAAGTACAGTGTGTAGTTTAGATGCACATATTGTGTTGAGTTGTTTTACTAAAAAACTGACATTTTAATTCAGTAGCCTGCTAGCAGCTTTTGCTAAGCGAGTTAATCAGCGGTTATTTCACCCCCCCACTCATATTCGGACAAATTCCGCCTCCTGCAATAAGACTGCTGCAGATTGCCGTGGAAGATTGACTAGTAGTTCATGCAGATTAGCTTTGGGTGTGGATGTGAACCAGAACCAAGCACACAGCAGTGCAGGAGGCGGGACACAGTCGCCAGTCTGAGCGCGGAGGCGGGACATGTGTGAAAAGGAGTGGGGGAAAAACTCGGTTACAGGAGGATTTAAAGGCGTGCATGTCGATCAGCTCGAGATCCTGCTTTGCTAAGGAAGAAATAAACTACACGGGAGGAGAGAGAGCTGTTGTATCAAAATAATTCACGACTGGGTAGGAGTTACAGTTTCCACCCTGAAGTTCATGACTGTCCTGTAACATCGCTCCCCCAAGTGTTTTATTCCTCTTACACCACAGCCAACAGTTACAGTCATGCTTTTTAACCGTTTATAGTTACATCTGATTTTTCGGAAAACATTAGATTATTAGATTGATTAGATTCAACTTGATTGTCATTGAGCAGAGTGCAAGTCCAGAACCAGAAGTGCAAAATAGCAAGTAGCATTAAGTGTGAAGTGCAAAAGAGACCCTGGTTACGTTTACATGCTCATCAATATTCTGATATTAATCAGAATTTGGCAGTTTTCTAATTAGTACTGAGTCATGCATGTAAACGCTGCAATCCGATTGCCCGATTCAGATTAAGACAATATACTCATTCCCCAAATTCAGATTCCCACCCCTGGAATATGCCTGTTTTAATCAGAAATTTGTTGCATGTAAACACCTTATTCAGAAAATCCACTGAAAGAAGATATATGCGCATACTCAATCTGCAAGGAATTGTGGGTGCTAACTAGGGCTGCACAATACATCGAAATTATCTTAAATTATCATAAATATCGCAAATGGAAATATGGTGATATGCAAATCACAAGGGCTTGCGATAACTGAATGATTTTAATTCTTCAAAAAATTATAAAAATTCAAAGTTTTAGGGTGACCTGGATAGCAGAGAATGCTTTCTTTTCCTGAAAAGAACATGAACCGTACGTTGGTTATGTCATTTTAAGTTTATATATATAATTTTAATTGATTTTACACATTTATAGCATTATCATACCGCATATTGCATTATTTAACAAGTTATCGCATTTTTCTTCGATATCGTGCAGCCCTACTGCTAACAGATGCTTAGCTCATGGCTAGGTATTTAGGAATGGCAATTACAACAACCATGTATACAAGAATATTCCGATGCCTGTTCGCATATAAACACCTTATTTGGAATATGGCTGCAACTCGTATGTAGACCTTAAACAGAATTTGATGTACATGTAAATGTAGCCAAGGTGGCAGTAAAGTGCAGAGTGACGTGCAAATGTGTGTACATGGATTAAAGTAATTAAAGACAGTACAGTGTAGTGAACAAAGGTCAGAGAGGAATGGAGGAAGTGAACATGGATCCACTGAAATGAGTGGAATC